CACGGCAGAAGATGCCCCAAGTGCGAAGAAGCACGGCAGACAATTAGCAGGAACACGGCAGACTAGACCCCCAGAGCTCAGGGGCACGGCAGAAAAAAGACCAGGACCACGGCAGAATAGACCCCAGAGCTAAGGAGCACGGCAGAAAGAGACCAGGAGCACGGCAGAATAGGCCCCATGAGCGAAGGAGCACGGCTGAAAAAAAAACAAAGAGCACGGCAGAATAGACCCCAAGCACGGCAGAAAAAGGCCCCAAGAGCGAAGTAGCATGACAGACAAAAACAGGAGCACGGCAGAATAGACCCCAAGAGCTGAGGAGCACGGCAGAATAGGCGCCAGGAAAGAAGGAGCATTGCAAAACACGACCAGTGACCAGGAGCACGGCAGAATAGACCGCGAGAGCTAAGGAGCACGGCAATATAGATGCAAGAATACAGCATAATACGCCCCAGGGAAGAAGGAGTATGCAAGAAAAACACAAGGAGCACGGCAGAATAAACCCCGAAAGCGAAGGAGCACGGCAGAATATGCCCCAAGAGCTAAGGATCACGGCAGAAAACGACCAGAAGCACGGCATCATAAGCCCCAAGAACAAAGGATTGTGACAGAAAATGGCCAGGAGCATGGCAGAATAGGCCCGAAGAGCGAAGGAGCACGGCACAAAAAAAACATGGAGCATTTCAGAATAGACCCCAGGAACGAAAGAGCACGGCAGAATAGACGTCAAGAGCGAAGGAGCACGGCAGAACTGCTCATTTTCTGCCTTGCTCTTTTTTCGCCGGCCATGCTCCGCCCGATTGTTTTGAGGATGTATGCAGCGAGAGCGCGATTTTTAACACGAGAGGTAGTAAAAACGCCACTCCAAGATATCATTTTTGTTAACATGTCTCAGGCGAGACGCTCGTTTTTGAACATCTGTCGAATTCGCGGCTTCCCATGTTTCAGGGAAGTCTCAGGCGAAACGCTCATGTTTGATGAAACCGATGTTGTGAACATGTCGTTTTTGTAAGGATGTCTCAGGCGAAATCGCCATTTTGGATCGTCTCGAGGGCGCTCCTGGGGGTCAAATTTGGGCTTGTTTGGGGCCTTTGGGGGCCTTCTTGATGCCTCACAAAACCGTTACAGCCCGATGTTACACACATTCATTGTTTCAGGATGTCCCTAGCGAAATCGTCATTTCTAGATGACTGGCTTAAACCATCTAGAAGCCTTTTCAGGAGCGATCCCAAGACGATGTTAAAACAGCAGTTTTCAAAACGATGTTGTTCGATGTGTTATTTTTTTGAAGATGTCCCTAGCGAAATCACTGTTTTCAGCAATCTTAAGGGCGCTCTTGGAGCCATGTTGTGGCCTTCTTTTGCTTCCTGATGCCCTCCTCAAATCATTACGATGCGATGTCGCACGCATCATGTTTTTTAGGATGTCCCTACCGAAATCGACATTTTTTGAAGGCTGTCTTGGGCCGTCTGTAAGCCTTTTCAGAAGCAAAGTCAAAACTATGTAAGAACAGCAGTTTTCAAGTCGATGCTGGTGTATGTTTTCACTTTTTGAGGATGTCCCTAGCGAAATCGCTATTTTCGGAAGTCCCCCAATCGTTCTGACAGCCATCTTGACGTGCTTTTTGGCCTCTCATTTCGTTATCTTGAGGTACTTCGAGAACGATATCAAGACGACGTTGAGGACATCTCATTTTGTTGAGGATGTCCCTAGCGAAGTGCAAATTTTCTGCCGTGCTCTTCGTTCTGGTCCGCCGTGCTGCCGCTCGTTTTCTGAGGATGTCCCTAGCGAAATCGCAATTCTTAACATAAGAGTTAGTTAAAGATTTCAGTCGTCATCTCATTTTTTCGAGGAGGTCCCAAGCGAAACGCAAATTTTCAGAGACGGCGACATTTCGCTGTCATCAACATTTCGAGGATGTCTCGAGCGAAACGCTTGTTTTTGTTAAACGCGATGTCGCGAAGATCTCATTTTTGTGAGGATGTTTCACGTAAAATCGCCATCTCGAAGAATCCGGAGACCGGACAAGAACGGGAAGCGTCGCTTTAGTCCACCAAGCATGTGGAATATGCTCTGTTGCTGTTACGCCGCGAAGGTATGCCGTGGCGCGCGTGTCGGCGTGCGTGCGGGGTGTGTTTTGCTGCGTTCCTGTGTGTTCTGCCGTGCTCCTGTTCTGATTCCAGGTCGGGACCACCATGTTAGAAACCCCCCTGGGTGGCCTGTACACGTAAAGGCACGTGATCCAGCCCACCCAGGAGGGATATCTAACACGCGGTCGTCTAGAGCGCAGGAGGGCCCAGTAACGCCCACAAGCGCCTGGAAGCCAAAAAGTCAACGAATCGATACCAAATACACATGCGTGAACTCTCGACGTTCCGTTCCGAGTCCCAAGCAGAATCCAGGAGGCCCGTGTTAGATAACCCCCTGAATGGCCTGGACACGTGAAAACACGAGGTTCCAGCTCGGGACCACCATGTTAGATGCCCCCCTGGGTGGCGTGGACACGTGAAAACACGCGGCTCCGGCTCGGGACCACCATGTCAGATACTCACCTGGGTGGCCTGCGCGCTTGAAAACACGTGGTTCCAGCGCGGGACCACCATGTTAGATGCCCCCTCTGGGTGGTCTGGGCACGTGGAAACACGTGGTTCCAGCTCGGGACCACCCTGTTCGATACCTCATGGGTGGCTTGGGCACGTAAAAGCGCGCGGTTCCAGCTCAGGACCACCGTGTTCGATGCCCCCTCTGGGTGGCGTGGACACGTGAAAACACGCGGTTCCAGCGCGGGGCCACCATGTTCGATACACCCTCTGGGCGACCTGGGCACGTGAAAACGCGTGGTTCCAGCTCGGGACCACCCTGTTAGAGACCTCGTGGGTGGCATGGACTCGTAAAAGCGCGCGGTTCCAGCTCAGGACCACCATGTTAGATACCCCCAGGGTGGCGTGTACACGTGAAAACGCGTGACTCCAGCGCGGGGCCACCATGTTAGATACCCGCCTGTGTGGCCGGGACACGGGGAAACGTGGTGCCAGCTCGGGGCCACCATGTTAGATGCCCACCTGGGTGCCCTGGACACGCGAAGCGACGTGGTTCCAGCTCGGGCAAAACGTGTTAAATGCCCCCCTGCGTGGCCAAGGAAATCCGGGAAAAAACAAACGAATTAGTCGAGGCACCCTCGAAATTCTTGCGCGCGGGACGCGGCGCGCGCGAGACATCCCCGGAATTCCTGCGAACGGGACGTGGAAACAAACATTTCGCCTGATACATCCTTTGAATTCTGGCCCCCCACGGGGCCCCCGCTCGAGACATCCCCCAACTCCACAAAACCAGCGTTTCGCTCGAGACATCCTCAACAAATTCTGAACAAAAAAAACAAGCATTTCGCCTGAGACGTCGTCACAAATAATTTCGCCGTCCTCCTTCAAACTCGTCATCTATCGCAAAATAATTCCGCCGGCCTCCTTGAATCTAAACTGAGGGTACCAATGCTAAAGAGAACTCTGGGCCTCTGCCCTTTCCTGGAAAATGAATGTGGGCATGGCGACAACGCGCGCATGCAGAAGCGCACTGAAGAGGGAGGCGAATGAAGGACGGCCACATGGATGGGGAACAGAAAAACAAAACAGATATAGAGAAAACACACGGACAGTATATGATAAGAGAACAAGCAAAATATCCTTGACTGTGGGGGTCCTGCGCCGTGTGGGGTGCTTACAGCCAAATTGCGCCATCCGCGGTCTCCCGCCTGGACCTCGCTCGGGGGCTGTCCTGCAGCGGCGCTGGTCGGGAAGGGCAGGCGAAGCAATGTAGCTGCAAACGCTCTCTGGGCCTGACAACGACGGTCACAAAACCCAGGGCACAGCAAAACAACTGATACCATGTGAGAAAGCTGGACGTACCATAGGGCCAGTCTGCCATACCCACCTCCTGAGGTACAAAACGCGCACTATGAGTCGGGATGCCCCCCCAGCGACGCGTGCGCCCTCAATGCAGCGCGCAGTGAGGTGAGAGGAGGAGAGGCGCGGGTGTTCCCACCGGCCAGGACTGCGCCATCTTCCACCAACCATGGTACTCCATCGACTTTCCATCCTTCCCCTGCGCCTCGGTGCACCTGGGCGCGCCCTATCTTCGCGGGCGAAGAACGGTATAGCATAAACTTTTCTGTCGACGTGGACGCCTGTCCAAGGGCAGCCTTACAGTCTGTACCCGTACGGTGGCAGCACACCACGGTATAAACTTTCCAGCCGCCCTGGGACAAGCGCCCCCGATGACGAACAAATTATTTGATACCGTTCTTTGCCCGCTAACTCCCCTCCGCTCCACCCATCTCCCATCCCCTTTTGAAGCGGTGTAGCGCGCTTTTCGGCTGGTAAGCAATCGACGGATCGAGCCCGTGCTCATTTCCACTCCTCCTCCTCCTCCTTTTCCTCCTCCTCCTCCTCCTCATCCTCCTCTTCCTCCTCCTGCTCCTCCTCCTCCTCCTCCTGCTCCTCCTGCTCCTCCAGCTCCTCCTCCTCTTCCTCCTCCTCCTTTTCCTCCCCTTTCTCCTGCTCCTCCGCCTCCGCCTCCTCCTCCTCCTGCTCCCTTTTGCTCGTGCCCACGCTCGTCCCTGCCCCCGCTGACTCGCCACAGCGTAGGGACCTGTGCTCCGCTTGCTCACGTCATGGGAAGCGAACGCATCGACGCTGTCTCGCGACGGGGCGTCGAAGTCAATGGGCCCCCGAGCGGGGGTAAGGACCACAGCCCCCTCCCCTCCAGTCCGTGGCTGGTCTGTCCCTGCCACCCCAAACATCCTGCCGCTCCGATTTCTTCAGCGCCCGGGCCCCGTGGAGGTCTGGGCCATTTCCCGAGGGCCAGTGTTTCGTCCTGCGCCGTTCCTTGACGGTCCCGAGGCCCGGAAGTGGCTCCAGGAGGCCGACGATAGCCCAAATCCCGCCGCCCCAAAACTGCTTTGGAGCGTCGGATCTCTGGGACTCTCCAGGGGGGGCACCGAGTCGCGCCTCGGCGTCGACGACTCGCGCGTCGTACTCTGCCTGCGGCGGGGCGTGGGAGCCCATACCGGATGGGGGTCCAGAACCAGAGGAACGACGAATATGGCCGGCGCGCAGGTGGTGGACCGGGATTTGCCGTCGCTCGGACGTCTGCAGTAGGGGCCTGACCACAAGAAGCCTTCCACAAGAAGCCCAACCCCGAGAGCCCAGGACGTCCATCGAAAATTTTGGTGTGGGAGCGTCGCGCTCCACGTAGCAAGACCGTCGAAACCCAAGAAACCCAGGGCACCCTGGAGGCGAGCAGGGTGCTTCTTCGCATGGGTCCCCACTGTAGTCGCCGTGCATGTTTCGGTCTCGTCCGCTTCTTTTTCGCAAGGTGATCCGAGATGCTCCCGAATGGTCACCGCCAAATGCAGTGCCCACGCCCGAGCGATGCCAAGGGGAGGCCGCTCAGAAGTGCTGGAGAGGCTTCCGAGAGGCCTTCTCGGAGAGGCAGCGGACTGCTCTCGGGAGAGCCTGGAGGCCTCCGAGACGGCTTCATCGAGGGCCGCCCACCTCGCACCCGCCATCCGACGAGGTGCGTGCCTTTTTTCCATCCGCGGGCACCAAAGGTGGCCCTGGCCCCTTCTCGACGGCGAGCCCAGGGGGGAAGTGAGAAGGGGCGGGCCTTCTCATAAGGCTCGGAAATCCCCAGGTCTTCTAAGAAGTTCTCTAAGCCTTCCCCGAAAGCACAGAAAACTTTTCAGAAGGCACGAGGCCTTCGGAGAAGTTCCGCCGCATTCTTAGAAGGCCTTCTCCTTCTCGTTTTCCCCCCTCGCTCGCCGCTGACCTTCCCTAACGGGCAGAACGGTGAACGCGAAATTTTGGGTCGGGCTGTTTTGTTGGCCTCCCTTGATTTTGCATTGGCGAGCACGCGTCCAGGATCCATTACTCACTGCCCCGGGGCCCAAAAAGACCACCAGAGCTCAACATAACAACATATCAGCCAGCATTAACTCCAAATATATAGGAGGACAGGAGGAGGACGAGAGGAGGATGGGAGGAGGGGAGCAGGACGGGAGGAGAACGGGAGGAGCAAAATCAAGCAAGCGCAAGCTAGCAACCGGAAGCAAGCAAGCGCAAGCGAGCAATAACAAGCAAGCAAGTGCCAGCGATCAAGTACAAGCAAGCAAGGGCAAGCAAGAGCAAGCAAGCGAAAGCAAGCACGCAAGAGCAAGCGAGCAAGTGCCATGGGAAAAAAGGAGGGTGCCATTGGAAAAAGGGGGGGGGGGGCCATTGGAACAAGGGGGGGTCCTAAAGACCAAGTACATTTGATGAGCTAGAACTCCTCTAGGGCAAGCGTATTTGGAGAAAACAACATTGAGCTTGAACGAGCCAACCCGCACTCCTTCGGACCCAAATCCACTAAATATTGGGCACCTGGGATGGGTGATGAAAGGAATGATTACGACGCACAACAACACATGTTGCCCAAAACCGACAGCGGCCGTTATTGGGTAGGCGGTCTTCTGTCTCAAATGGGCAACGTCCGCGGCGACGCCGACAACGACTCCAATTCAAAATGAACTGGACATGCTGTCGATCTGTGTGCCTATTCTTTCCTGCCTGTGTTGGTCGTCCCGACAAAACAGCCCCACAGAACTCTCCGAGGGACCAGCCGGGCACGCTTTCCGAGCCGCGTCCCGCCGTGGCGCCCAGAACAACCGGGAACGCGCACCAAAAAAACCCAACATGACGGCGACATCGTGGTCGACGTCGGACCGCCCGCCGCCGAGGCGAAGGAGCCTGGAGGAGGAGGAGGAGGAGGAGGAGGAGGAGGAGGAGGAGGAGGAGGAGGAGGAGGAGAGGAGGAGAAGAGGAGGAGGAGAAGGAGGAGGAGGAAGAGGAGGAGGAGGAGGAGGTGAAGGAGGAGGGGGGAGGAGGGGGGAGCATGAGAAGAGGAGGAGGAGAAGGAGGAGTAGGAGGAGGAGAAGGAGGAAAAGGAGGAGGACGAGGAAGAGGAGGAGGAGGAGGAGGAGGAGGAGGAGGAGGAGGAGGAGGAGGGGCCGGGCGGAGGAGCCAGCGTGCTCCCGGGAAGCGGGTCTGCTCTGCACTTCCCGGCGGCTGGCCACGTGGGCCAGCCCCCCCCAGGATCGGTGCCCGAGTCCAGGAGGGGAGCCTGTCGAAGGTGTCGAGGCAACAATGACGTGGAGTGATCGCTTCGAATGGAGGCGTGCATGCGGGACTGGCGTCGGACAGGGCGGAGGGGCGGGTCGTCGGGCGGGGGCTGGGGGCGGAGGAGGTGACACGGTGGACGAGCACAAGCAGGAGGAGCAGGAGGAGCAGGAGGACGGTGATGATGATGGTGATGATGATGATGGTGATGATGGTGATGATATGTGATGATGCTAGTGGTGCTGATGGGGTGAGAATGATGATGATGGTGATGTTGATGAGGGTGGTGATGATGATGCTGATCATGAGGGTAATGACGATAATGGTGACGAGGATAATGATAATCAAGATAATGAAAACGATGATGATCATGCTGATCACGATGACTATGATGGTGACGATGATGATGATGCTGAGGATGGCGACGGTTATGATGATGGTGGTGGTAACGGTGATGATGATGATGATGATGATGATGCTGATGCTGATGGTGGTTGTGATGAGGTGATGAGGATGCTGATGATGGATGATGACGACGAGATGGAGGATCACGATGACGATGACGACGACAATGACGACGACAATGACAACGGCGATGACGACGACGATGACGACGGCGATGACGATGAGGAGGATGAGGATGATGATGGTGATGATGATGCTGTTTGATAATGATGATGGTGGTGATGATGCTGATGCTGATGCTGATGCTGATGCTGATGCTGATGCTGATGATGCTGATGCTGCTGATGATGATGATGATGATGATGATGATGATGATGATGATGATGATGATAAAGATGATGCTGCTGACGATAAGAGCGTTGACGCCAAAAGGCTCGAAACCCTGTTGTTGTGTTACTCGGGTCGTGCGTCCACCAGTGGCATGAATCCTGATTGGTATGACTGCTGATCATTGGAAAAGTCCGCCACAGGCCCCCGGACAATCCCCAGACAACCCCCGGACACCCTGGACACCCTGGACAGACGGACACCCCGGACACCCTGGACAGCCGGCCCACGGACAATCATGGGACAATCCCCAGACACCCCCTGGACACCCCGGACTCCCTGGACACGCCGGACACCCCGGACACCCCAGACACCCCGGACACCCCGGACACCCCAGACAACCCGGACACCACAAACGCCCCGGACACTCCGGACGCCCCGGACACTCTGGACACCTAGGACGCCCCCCCGACACCCCGGACATGCCGGACACTTCTATCATCAGCACTCATATCATAAACTTCCTTTTCCTCATGACCACCACCATCAACAGCATCAGCAGCATAATCATTGTCCTCATGATCATTATCCTCATCCTGCTTCCTCCTCCTCCTCCTCATCATCATCATCCTCTCCCCTTCTCATTATCGTCTCTCCTCATCCTGTCCCTTCCTCCTTTTCCTCTTCTCCTCCTCCTCTTCCTCTTTTTCATCTCCTCCTCTTTTTCCTTTCCTTCTTCTTCTCCTCCTCATCATCCTCGTCTTCCTTATTCGCCTCCTCCTCCTCCTCCGTCCTCCTCACGTTCTCGCCCTCATCATCACTGAAATGTCTTTTTCTTTTCCTTATTGCTCCTCTCTTCCTCTTCCCACTCTTCCCTCCTCTTCCCATCTCTTTCTCCCTCTCTCTCTCTCTCTCTTGCTTCCTCATGACCACCACCATCAACGCCCCATCCCAGAGAATTGTTTTTACTTAGTGCCCTGCCCGCCAGACTGGCGTCGTCGGTAGTTGTGGTAGATTTTGCCCCCATCTTAGTGCACTCACAGAGTGAAGATTAGATTTAATGGCCCGCCCGCCAGCCCGAAAGTCCCACGATTGAGCGACGGTTTCGTTTAGTGCCCCGCCCGCCCGACACGAGTCCTCAACGGTTGTGAATCATTTCCCCCCGCACTGTTCCATCGCAGAGTGGAAATTTCATTGAATGTCCCGCCCGCCTGCCCGACTGAACGCCAAATCCCTGAGTGAAGTAAGAGGTTGAATTAGAACCCTCTAGAGATACCTAAATGCATTTCTAAACATGGAGAAATGCTTGTTTTTGGGCCGTAAAAATCAGCCGACCCTGTGTCGGCGTGTGTGACGGGCGTGTCCGTTCCCGTCGTTCGTTCGTCGTCGTCGCCGTCGTCTCCTGTCCCTGCGCCCACCCTTTCCCTGGGCCGGTCGTCTCCTGTCCCTGCGCTCCCCCTTTCCCTGGGCGCGTCTCCCCTCCTCCCCTTTCCCCCTTTTCCCTGGGCCCGTCGCCGCTACCCCCGCGCTTTTCCAGGGCCTCCCCTCCGGGGCTCACACAAAGCCTCAGACGGGCCAAGAGCCGAGGCATTCTACCACGCCCTCTCCTCCCTCCCCCCTCCTCCCTCCATCCTCATCTCTCCTCTTTCCTCCGTCCCCCTCCAGAACTGAACCGGCCTCCTGGACGCTCGACCACGGGACACCCCGGGACCCAGAATTCCGAGGTCCCCGGGACCTTCCAGGACCCAGCCCCGAGGACCTCCTCCCAGGACCCAGCATCAGGAACCAGCCCCCCAAAAAGTCCAGGACTCCCAGGCCCCAGGCCCTGCTCGCCTTGTCCTGCTCCTATTCATTTCCCCCCTCTCCTCCTCCTCCTCCTCCTCCTCCTCCTGCTCCTCCTCCTCCTCCTCCTCCTCCTCCTCCTCCTCCTCCTCCTCTCCTCAACCTCCTCCTCCTCCTCCTGTTCCCCTCCTCCTCCTCCTTCTCCTCCTTCTCCCCCCTCCTCCGCCCTGACGTCCTCCGCCTCCTGCTCCTCAACGTCCTTGTCCTGCTCGTCGTCTCCGTCTGCATGGTTGGCGGCACCGGCCGTAAGGCCTTCGCAATCCCCTGGAGCTGAAAATGACATCCCAGGGCTAAAATTTCACCTGGGTTACGGTTTTGAGGGCCCTGGGGCCTGAAACCCTGTTGTACAATTATGTGTTATGATGTTTTGTTCCATCTCTGATCCCACTGTGTTTCTTTATATCTCTAGATACGTGTACATAGGTTTGTACATATATATATATATATACACATGTAAACATATATACATATATATGTACAGCATACAAACTATTCACTTCCAATTCCAATTCCAACTTTCCAACTCTACTTAAAGGTCCCAAGATCTGCCGCGCGCTCCACCAAAAACACTCCACCAGAGGGTTCAACCAGGTCCCTGCACACCCGACTTCGTGTCCAAAACGATAGATTGTTGTTCGTTTTCATACTTCGGCCCTTTTTTTACAGATCGCTCCCAAGACCACCAACATGATCGACCCACGAACCCGGAAAGGAATATAGAAATGTAACGCATGGCAACGTCTTCAAAGACACCTGATTGGGTGACGGGCAAATGCAATGCTGATTGTATCGATCTTGATGTACCGTGCCGAGGGCTGTGCTGTGCTGCACCGTGCTGAATTGCGATGTGCCATGCCGCGGTTGTGCTCTATAGCGTCGTGGATCGAGTCTTCCTTTGCATTCGAGTCCTGACCAAACTGATCTGGATCTGAAGCTCGAGCTGCCTGAACACATAGTAGCTGCCCCAGAGGTAATTGACAGGGGGACATGCCAGGAGGACGCGCCGCGAAACGTCCCAAGGGACGCGCCAGGCGACGTGCCAAGGGACGTGCCATGGGGTCGCACCGTACGTAGGACGTGCCAAGGGGACGCGCTACGGGACATCCTCCAAATTCCTGCGCGCGGGACGCGGCACGCGCGAGACATCCTTGGAATTCCTGCGAGCGGGGCACGAAAACAAGCATTTCGCCTGAGACATCCTCTGAATTCTGGCCCCCACGAAGCCCCCGCTCGAGACATCCCCCACATTTGCAAAACCAGCGTTTCGCTTGAGACATCCTCAACAAATTGTGAAAAACAAGCGTTTCGCTCGAGACATCCTACCAACATTCTAAGACATCCTGACAAAACAAACGAATTAGTCGAGACATCCTCGAAATTCCTGCGCGCGGGACGCGGCACGCGCGAGACATCCTTGGAATTCCTGCGAGCGGGACACGAAAACAAACATTTTGCCTGAGACATCCTCTGAATTCTGGCCCCCCACGAAGCCCCCGCTCGAGACATCCCCAAATTTTGCAAAACCAGCGTTTCGCTCGAGACATCCTCAACAAATTATGAAAACAAATTAAACTACACCCGCGCTCCCAGGGCCACGATCCCTTGTAAATTACGCTACGTCAGCGCTCCCAGGGCCACGATCCCTCGTAAGGGCTCCTGGGCCCTCCTGGGTCTTCCTTGGACTTCTTGGGCCCTCCTGGGCTCTCCTGGAGCCTCCTGGAGCTTCTCCTGGGCCCTCCTTGGGCCCCCTGGTGCCTCTTGGAGCCTCCTGGGTCCTCCTGGGCCCTCCTGGGCTCTCCTGGGCCCTCCTGGGCTCTCCTGGGCTCTCCTGGAGCCTCCTGGGCCCTCCTGGGCGAAGTCAAGGTCCGAAAACACATGGGACTTGCCACATTTCTGAAATTCGGTGCCACCCCTCACGCAGGTCGGCGGGGTCAGGATCCGAAAACACATGGGATTTGCCACATTTCTGGAATTCCGTGCCACCCCTCACGCAGATCGGCGGGGTCAGGGTCCAAAAACACAGGGGATTTGCCACATTTCTGGAATTCCGCGCCACCCCTCACGCAGATCGGCGGGGTCAGGGTCCAAAAACACAGGGGATTTGACACATTTCTGGTATTCCGTGCCACACCTCACGCAGATCGGCGGGGTCAGGGTAAAAAAACACATGGGATTTCTGCGATTTCCGAACTTATGCAACTTCAAGAATCCAAAACTCCGTTCCCAGCGCCGTTCCGGAGGCCGCGGTACCTCGATATTTATCGAGCGAACGCGTTTACCTGGTTTTTTATCGTTCAAAGTCGATGTCGGAAAAAAGTGGACTTCACCTGTGAAATATCGAGGTTTCCTTAAAGGCAATAAAATTCCAAGAGCACGATCTGCGTGAGGGGTGGCGAAAAATTGCCTTCGTCCTCACAATTGAAATCCGCCGGCCCCCTTCGACCTCGTAATTTATCGCACAAGAATTCCGCCGGCCCCCTTCAAGTAAAAACCGGGGGGAAGACCATCTAAAAGAGAACCCTGGGCCCATGCCCTTTCCGGGAAAAAGGCCGAACATCGCTCCCCAAATGGCTTCAAGATGGCCATCTTGGCCACGACTTGGACCATCTTGGCGCCATCTGGACTCCAACTTGGCACCATCTTGGCCCCTTTGGGCGAGAATTTGGACGATCCGAGCCCGGCCCAAATCGACCAAAACTGACCAAGACAACTTTTGATATATTTTTCGTCTCCAAATCACCTCCACGAGCTTCCAGACCGCCTCGATTTTCAATTTTCTTGGGACGCATGTTTGCTGCATGTTCTTTACGATTTTAGTCTAAATTCCGCTTCCGACTCGAAGTCTGTCTAAATGTGTGTTAAAGAAATGATTATGAAGCGTCTGTCTAGAAGGGGCCCGCCTGGAAGGGGGCGGCGGTACTCGCGCGCATGGGCGTCTTCGAAACAATATAAAGATAAGAACACAATATGTATGTGTGTATATAATTATCTATTCATTTATGTATTTATGTATTTATCTATGTATTTTCTATTTATTTATTCTATATACAGGGGCTTGGCCTGGGGGGGGGTCCCCGTTCGAGCGGGCGCCGAAGACGCCATTTGAAGACGCCATTCCCCCCAGGAGCTGCGGTGACGCCTCTATTCCGCTGGCGCCTGGTGAAGCTCGTGACGCTTCTATTCGGCCTGAAGCCTCGATTCCGTTGACGCCCATTGAAGCTCGTGACGCCTCTATTCGGCCTGAAGCCTCTATTCGGCCTGAAGCTTGTATTCGGCTCGTGACGCCTCTATTCGGCCTACGAATTGCGACGCACTGGTGGGGTGGCGACCCTAGACGCGCCTATTCGGCCTGAAGCCTCTATTCCCCTGACGCCCACTGAATCTCGTGAAGCCTCTTTTCGGCCTGAAGCCTCTATTCTGCTGACGCCCATTGAAGCTCGTGAAGCCTCTATTCGGCCTGAAGCCTCTGTTCCTCTGACGCCCGCTGAGGCTCGTGACGCCTCTATTCGGCCTGAAGCCCTTATTCCCCTGACGCCCGGTGAAGCTCGCGAAGCCTCTATTCGGCCTGAAGCCTCTATTCCCCTGACGCCCGGTGAAGCTCGTGAAGCCTCTA